AAAACACAATTAGAAGTGGTGGCAAGACTGGAGCTAAGGGACAGTACAGTGCTTGCAGATAGGTAACCTTCACTTACAGCTTCTGTGATGCAAAACAGTTCGTCCACATTTTAACGACACGTAAACACCATACTAAACATTGAATCAGGCAAAGAAATACTGTCTTTTGCAGCACTAAAACTTGAAGATGTTTCCAGCATACTTTATTTTGATGCTTAGCTGACAAAGAATAGTATTTTCGAGTGGAAATTACCAAAGTAATTACAGTGTCAGATTGTTTCAGATTCTTTCTTTGCCACTATTTACATTCCTGAATACATTTTCATGAGAGAAACGAGGAATAACTAAAATACTTGCTCCTTGAACTGATTTTTTATTTAAAAAAAAAAAAAATCACCATATAGTTCATAAGATATTTCAAAATAACCATTAAATACAAATGCCATTCCTATTTTACACTAGACTACAGTCACACCACTCCTTGTAAAACTTCTTCAAAGACTCCCTTTATTAAAGAGAGAGAGAAGCACAAATTCCAATTCCTTAAGACGATTTGAACAAAATACAATCTGGAAAACTGAGGTGTCTTAGAGTATAAGATTCAGTTGTGGTACATGACAAAAGAGAAGAACATATGAGGCACAGGCACTGGTGATCATAATCCCTTTGTATGGAGCTGGGTGAAGCATGAAAGAGCCCTTTGCTCTATCCCCTCCATTCCTGTTACCCTCTCTCCCACCTACCCCAAAACTCACAGATGCCTGCAGAGAGGTCCCTTCACCAGTGCTGCACCCTAAGGAAGCTTTACAGAACCTTGAAAACTGCACCTCAAGTCACCTGCTGCCTGTCATACAGTCTGATCTCATACTACCCAGCCCCTTAGCCAGGTACAGCCAAGTCAGCAGAGCAGAAGGTTGCAAAAGGAGTCTCAGCGGGAGACAAAATTGCTGCTAACAGCTTTAAATGGTTTAACATGTTTCACGTGCCAGAAATAGGGCACTAAGCACAGATGCAGCCACCAGCTCTCAAGATACCAGACATTCCGAACTTGGAGAGAGAAGAGGTGAACGTTGCTCTTCCATCCCAAATCTATCCAGGACAGAGGAAGCACAGCTCAAAAAGGACTACGGTTTGGACAATCAATGAATTTCCATTTGCTAGGGTGTGGAAAGCCATGAACAAATGAATCTGCACTACTGGCAAACCTTGTCCAATTAGCCTGCAATGTTTGGGAAGCAGCATAGAACCCTACCCTCAGGAAACCCTGCGAAACCCAACAAAAGGCCAATAAACAACACAGTTTCTGCCTTTTTTGTGTGTAGAAAAGTACTCCTGGCAAAACTAGGGTAATTTTTTCCTCATCACACTTACTAAACTAACTTTTTTACCTCTTACACTTGCCTTGGAGAGTTTCAGTTCTACCCCTGAGCAGAAACACTGTAAGAGGCAGATGCTGATGAAGGCCTCTATATAACCCTCATATCAGCTGCTCTATCAACATGCACCTGCCTTGTTTAGCAACACACTTAAGCCCACTGTTGCTAACAGCACCCATCCTTGGGCCCTTTTAGGCTATGTTTTATTCAATAATGCTCACATCAGCAATGCCACACTCCAAATCCCTCGAAACTCTCCAAGCCTGCAATGGCCCCTGAGCAGCCACCTACTCCTAAAGGGATTTTCAACACAGATGAGATCAGCAAACATAACCCATAATCCTAGAGCAGAGTAAAAGGTCCATGGAGCACAGGATATGTGGTAGTGAAATTACAGACTGCAATGGAATAGAATTTCCTGCATCTGTTGACTTGAGTCTTTCTCCTTATAGTGAGTTTCTCCATAACTGCGTCTTTTTCCTGCTTGGGAGATGAGCAGAATTCAGTCTTTATCCATTTGATGAGTAAAATTTTATTTATTCATCCTTTTGCCTATGCTTTATTACTTCTCACAGTCCACAGCTCTTCTGCCCTAAAGGGACAGAAAGGATTACCCTTGGTGGTAACTGCAATCTCTTTGCTTTTCACTTTCAGCACTCTTCTTGTTTACTTCTTATCTGCCTACCTGAAAAATCCCCTGGAAAAATAGCTTAAAAGTGTTTAGTGACACCCGTTAAGACCTTCAAGTAACAATTCTGTGGCAATAACTACCCACTCATCTCGCAGGCTACATATTCAAATGCCAATTTTGTTCATTATTTCAGAGCTCACCTGTAGGAGAATGGATGTACCATACCATGTAATCAGCACTAAACATCTAGAGTTTGGACTTCTCACACCACTATCTAACAGAGTTGTTAAGTACAAATTGCTTCATTTGAATAAAGACAAATCACTTTTCAACAGTACAGAAAATACTCCTACATTGCTCTGTATTTTCCTTCCTCCCAGTCACAGTATGCATGAGATGACATTAGGAAGGTATTAATGAAACCATTTTTTGCCCACTGACACACAAAATTGTCTAGAACAGAAAAAATCTTAAATAGTTGCAGCCTATTTACCTAGGAAGCATCATCCCCACGTAAGAGATGAGTAGAGGAAGCGACTGCATAAGTTCATCCACTAGCACTGCATGAGGGAACAGAACCCAGGTCCCCCTTGCCCTCTGCACTGCTCACTGACACCAATCTGCTGGGCACAAACCGCTTGCCAGAGCCAGTTCATGACCTCCCGGCAGCGTGCCAGACTGGCAGTGCTGTCCAAGAGGCACCACAGGAGCCCAGAGACTCGCGAGCTGCCGAGGACCCACCAGGGCATTCTCCTCCCGGGTCCCTGCCCATGGCAGTGTGGCCGGGCAGTAACCTGATGCCACTGGCGGCCTGCCCAGGCCTACACTGCTTGGCACTGCTGAGGGAACTACAGAGCACTGCGGAGGAAAGGGAGGAAGGCTCCAGAAGCAGGTTTACTCTTTCCACACCTTTCACTGCACTTCTTCCTCCCAGTGCAAGCCTGCCTTCCACATGGTCTCACTTCTGTTTCCCCACACGACTAACAGATTGCATACACTGGAGACACCAGGGACAAAAGCAGGGGATCTCCCAAGCCTCCCAACCCCTCCTACACAGTTCTCTCTCAATGCGGCTTTTATTCTGTTTTCTTCCTATGTGCAATAAAGATGCTAAAATAATTAAAGCAACGATTCTTTTACTTTGGATAAGCTTGTTAAGAGTGCTTTATGCTTAAAACCATGACAAATGTAGTCTTTTACTATTTACACAAATGACTTTTAGAGCATTCTCCTGATGGACTGTTGTTATTACTTGATAATACATAATCTGAAATGAACATAGCATAAAAAACTTGAGAAAAAAAGAAAAATTGTATAACTAAATAATTGAGAGAATACTGTTACAGCACTTGGCATGACAGCATGATTCAGACAGATGACAGCAATATACTGAAGTAAGGATGTCACTGTTAGCTCTTTCAAGGTAGAAATAGCAGAAAAATCCAACCATCTCAAGAATAAAATCAGTGGAGTCACTTTCTGGATTCTTATCTGTTGGAACCATAATAAATATAATACAACAAACCTCTGCACATAATTGACAGGTCTTTCAGAAGAAAGAACATTGTCTTGTCTGTTAGTATAGCCTGAGGGAGAAGGCAGAGGGGAGAACACAAACTTCCATAATCCTTTGTAATACAAGTTTTCTCTACTTCATCTCAAAAAATACTCAAGCCAAACCCAAAGAATACCAGCTAATTTCCCCCATTATGGGAATAATCTAGAGGGAGCACAAACACAGTTAGAATTTTTAGTGCATGATGCAGGCCTGAATAAAATACAAAACAAAACTTTAAAAAAAAAAAACTTTTTTTTTGGCTTGGAATATTTTGTTTCAGTGTAAAAAATGGTCTTTTCAAAGCATGAAGAACACAAGGCCATTCCCCTCCCTCCAGCCCTCAATAAACAGATGTAAAAACCTGGTTGCTTCATTCAGATGAGAATTTCCTAATAGAAATTCCCTAACTTAAACCACAGGTGGTATCAATGCACATTTTGTAAATCACATTACTTCAAGTTGCTAAACTCCCACAATGAAAATAAAGTTAATTTCAATTACACATTTTAAATTTTTAAATGTTTAGATTTCAAGTACTCCATGACATATCGCTGTTTCAAGAGCCATTTCTGGAAAAATTACTGTATTTTTCAACTGATTATTTGAGACTACATGCACTAAAACTAGCTTGGAAGTAAACCACTTTTATACTCAACCCTGAAACTCAGCAATGAAAAGCTAGTGCAACAAAACACGACTAGTTAGTCCTTCCTGAACTGAAATTACTATAAAAAACATTCTTAGCTGCAATTTAAATGTACTTGAAACCAAACCAACAACAGCTCTATGAGAAACCCAACCTTCATTAGGTATTTCAATCAACTGGCTTCTCTTTCTGTAGCATTGAGATATATTAAATATACATGTATTAATGCTTTAGAGTTTTAAAAAAGTGATTATGCTACTATAAAAGATGATAGTAATTCAGACACAGAATATTAACAACCCTCTACTAGTGAGACAGGGTCACAGCGTATTTCATGACACAGTGTTTAAATGCAGGGACTTTAAAGAACATTTGATGAGAGCTGAAGAAAAGCCATCTGATCTACAGAAGCCATCATTTCAAATGAAAAAATAAAACCCAACAGCACAAAGGCCACCAGATACCCAGTTTCACATTCCACCAGGTGATTACAGTTCAGTCACTGAAGTCAAAACATGCATGTTAAAATTGTCCAACTTCACAAACTCAGCTGTCATTCTCAATTTCTGCTGGCTTAGTCAGCCATCAGGCAGTCTAGGAAATGACACAAGCTCATCAGAGCTCAGCTTCCTTACTTCATTTAAGATTATGCCTGCTGACTGTAACAAAATCGCATATCAAAAGATCCTCTGCAATCTTCTCAGAGCCAAGATCAGCTGTCAAGATGTACTTCAACTAAAGTGACATTCAAAAATGAACCCAACTGCAGAAAAAGAAAAGAAACTTTACCTTAATTGGAGCACGGCTAAACTGTATTTTCCTGTTGGCTGGGATTTCATCTTCATCTGGCAATCCATTAATTTCAGAATATTCCATATCAGGTTCATAACAGTTATTTTCATCACTGTCATCCTGATCATCCTGTTCTGTACCTGTCTCTCCCCAGTCAGAGTTATATCTCGATCGTACCCGGTATACATTGTAGTCAGAGTGCATGTACACATGGGAACTCTGAAAATTATTCACATCTTCATGCGCTTCTTTTTCACTTGTCTCATCATAATGGGACTCGGTAGCATCTGAAACTACATCTGTGGCTAAATCACCACCTGAAGCTACATTTCTTGGTAATTCTGAAGATTCGGATCTATCCAAGACACCCTCTGCATGTTCCAACTGTTCCTTTTGTTGCAACAAAACTTCTGCCTCTGTTTTTGACTTGCTCCTAGCACAGCTGTCCATAGATCTTTCACTGTCAAGCACGTTGACCAGTTCCTGTTGACTCGCTCCAGAGCTCTCAACAGCATCAGCACCTGCCTCTGTACCCTTCTTTATCTCTTCAGTTGTTTTTGAACCTGCTGAAGTGCCTGTGGAAGTCTTCTGTCTCAGTGCTGAAGACACGCTATTTTGCTCAGAGTTCTCAGCAGATATCCCACCTGTACCCTGTTTGGCTGGGGGAGACCATGTGCTGGCATCTTTCAGAGGACTGAAACCCTCAAGGTTTGCCACCGGGGAGGAGATACTTGCGACAGTGGAGGAGAGGTTTAGCGGATAGTGACCAGTTACAGAGTACTCTTCATTGTTTTCCGACTTCTCTACAATGATCACGTTGTGTGAGTCAGTGTTCTCAAAAACTGCGCTGAGCTGACTCACAGTTGGAGAGACGGTCTCTGTCCTTGGGCTAAGGCTGTCCAGCGAATCGGTGCTGCCCCTGTGAGACTTGGCACTGCACCACTCATCCGGAAGCTCGTTGGAAACAACTTTCTCTTTCTTTGGGGAGTAGCGATTGGAATGTCCTGTTTCATGAGCATTTCGCTCAAACATCTTCCGAGTTTCGGTAAACTTGGAATAGGAAGGACCATCGTGGATCGTATCAAACCTACTGATCCTTTCTGAGACGGATGATTCCAGTTTTACAATCGAACCATCAGCTTTTTCTACAAATTCTTTGGGCCTAATTCGTCTTTGAGGTGATGGAGGGCCACCCTTTCCTCTGGTTTTAGGGGTAACCCCAGCACTTTCAGTGGGCTCCATGCCCATCTGCATAAATAAGTTCTTAATCCTATTGACATTTGAGCCATATTTCCTTCCTCTGCTCTGTGAGGCCTCTCCTTCCTCTTTCGCTTTCTGGTCTCCATCTGATTTCGGTTTGTCAAAGGTGCTTTTCAGTGCCTGGAACTCAGTTCTGTAAGCGTTCCTGTGAGGAGAGGCACTTCGGAGGGTTGATCTTTCTCCTGAAGACTCCGTTTTCATCATGTTTACTCCAGGAGTGCAAAACCAGCTTACATAGTTTCTGTGGTACTGCTTTCAGTGGTCTCTCATCTGTGACTCTGCCCGAGGAGTGCTCTCAGGGGGCGCTGCCCTTCAGCAGGGCCACACTTGACAGAAGATCTGGAGGCAAAGATCTAAATACATGTGGTCGGTTCTGACCAAGCAGCACAACCAAGGACTCTCAAGAACAACAGTGGATTTAACCTGCAATAAAAAGGAGGGTTTTCTGAATCATGTCAGTTACTTGTACTTCTTTAAGTCTAAGCCATAGTTCCCATTTACCATTATTTGACATTTCTAAAAAAAAAAAAAAGTAAAAAACAATTAAATAAATAGAACCTGATACTGCACAGACATATGAAAACTTGTCATTACAAACTTTTCAAACTGACTGTTGCATAATTTGCAATCTATAACATTCCATAGTGGAAGTATGGACTATTGCATCTTATCTTTCAAAAACTACCATACGATGCCTCAAACATGCATGCAAAGGAAAGGCAATGTGACAAGAGAAACGGAGGCACTGCAAGACAACCCCTGCTCCCTCAGATTAACATAATGGCAGAAATACCATCAAACATGGTATATTTAGAAAAGCCAAATTAAACAGCACTCGAGGAGAATAAGAAAAACTGCACCCAAAGTTAACATCCTCGATTGACACGGTAAAGGAAGCGAAATTCCGTTAGATAAAGTTGCTCCTTGTCACGGGCAGCGGTTTTAGCGCCTGGAGGAGCCTG